TTATAAGGGTGTGGAACCACTCCCTAACAGATGATTTTTAAAAATCGCGAGGCTAACAGAAATACGTAACGGACTAAAGTGGATAATATCTATTAGCAATGAGTTTGAGTTGTTACAAATAGTATCAGAGCTAGACACCGGGCGGTATGTCAGCGAGGACATTGGGCCTCCAAGAAGGGAGGATTGTGAGATCCCACATCGGTTGGAAAGGGGAACGAAGTATTCTTTATAAGGGTGTGGAAGCCTCTCTCTAACAGTCGCGTTTTAAAAATCGTGAGGCTGATAACAATACGTAACGAGCCAAAGCGGACAATATTTATTAGTGGTAGGCTCGTTACAACTAGCTGATAGCATATTGAAAGTTTGGGGTTGATATGCAGTTGCCACCAGTTTCTAAGCCTTTTAACACATCTCATCTGAGCAAAGTTTCAAGCAGGAGGAGATAAAAGGTTTCATGGTTTTAAAGGCATATTTCTGTCTCTAAGGGCGAATTTCATTGGCATTTGTCCGGGTTATAGTTCATGCTATTCCCTTCGCCTCATGGAACCCGTAAAGTAGATATAGCGTGCTATTATGAATGAAACTGCAGGTATGCTGAGAGATTCTACATCGGTTGGAGAGAGGAATGAAACATTCCTTATAAAGGTGTGGAAACCTCTCTTTAATAGATGCATTTTAAAATCGTGAGGTTAACGGCGATACGTAGCAGGTCAAAGCGGACAATATCTATTAACATTGGACTTGAGCTGTTATAATGGTATCAGAGCTACACACCAAGCAGTATACTAGACCTGGATTGTGAGATCTCACGTTAATTGGAGGAAATCGAAGCATTCTTTATATGGATATGGAAATCTCTCTCTAATTGACATGTTTTAAAATTGTGAGGTTAACAGTGATACATAACGGGCTAAAACCGACAATATCGACTAGCGATAAGCTTGGGTTGTTTTTAGACCTTCTATATTCTTAAATATTTTATTACGAGACAATTTTAAACAAAACCTTAACTCGAACTAAAGTAAGTAACTTTTAAAATTATTTGTATTTTTTAAATAAAATATTAACCAATGACAATAATTTTGATTCTACTTTTTACTATTTTTTTAATATAAGGGGATTATTGTTATAATTGAATTTTCAAGAAATATTTGCTGAAGAAAGTCATAATTTCGGGCATTTTTTATAATTTAGTAAAAATAATAATAATTTTAAAAAATCGGTTTATGGATCAAGGCCTATGACACGTGCAAGTAAAATTAGCTGGCAAATTGATTTACCGACATGTCGTTTTAAATGAGACGCAGATTGAATTTAATGGGCGTTTTTGAAGCTTTGATTAACCAATCGGTGTCGACGTCATTTGTGATGTCGTTCAAGCAGTCCACCACTCGCTCCGAATTCCGATCTCCTTTCATCTAGGAGCCTGACGAAGAACAAACCACCGTCGTATCCATCCACAAACTCTCTCTCTGAGAGCCCAAATCGGAGATGTACCTCAAAAAGGCATTGTGGAGCGAAGGATTCACGGCGAAGCCGTCCGCCGAATCTTCGCCGGACGATAAATCGGCGTCGGCAACGTCCTCCACCGTCGGGGAATTGGTCAATTCTCTGAACCGCCAGAGGCTCGACCGCGAAATTACTTTTTCTCTTCGAACAGGTCTAAGAGACGCCAGCGCCGAGTTTAGCTTTCTCCGAGTCCGTGGTCTTCGCAGCCTTCTCAAGTCCCTTCGCTCCATCGCGGAGTCCGATTCTACCATCCAGCTCTTCTGCCAGATTCAGTCCTTGCCGGAACTCCAAGGTTTGAAACTCTCCGATTCTCGTCTATTGCGTTTCTTCGTTTTTGGCACTTGATGATGAGTAAAACTGTGAAGCAATAGAGAAGAGTGAATCATCTAAATCTTCATTTCAAGTGAAATGTCTAATAGAATCTGTTTTCGCACATTGGAATACGAACTATGGAACTTGTATTGAATAATCGATCTCAGTACCTTTATTTGGTTTGAAACCAAGCTCCAAATTTTGTTTGTGCTTCCACCGAATTTGGATTGCTGAAATTATATTTCGTGTTCAATAGATGTGATTCTTCTCTTTCTATTCTGGCCATGAAACAGTGGTTCCAGTACTATTTCAACAGTCACTAAAGGAGTCAGAGGATGACCCTGTGGTAAATTTGGACCATATTTTTGGAGTGGAACCTTTGAAGATCGCTAGTCCTTCAACCGATGCAGAAGTTGCCCTCGCACTACGAGTTTTGGAAGGTTGTTGTCTCCTTCACAGAGAAAGTACTGCTTTAGCCCATCGGCACAAGGCAATTCCGGTTTGTCCTCTGCATTTTAGAAACTCTTGTGCCATTCCTCTATTATCTTATCGCATTTTAGAAACTCTTGTGCAAATTCCAACATTTCTTGAGGAATTACAGAGAACCAATACATTACCAGCATACATGGATAAGTCCCCAATTGTCCTGTTAGACTTATTTGTAGAAAATGTTTGTAACTACCCTACTTTTCTTATTAAACCAACTGGGAAGCTTTTTTAAATAGTCCTATGGATTGGGCTTGGTTGAAGCTGTATCTCCGTTCCTCGTTCATGTATATCGTCTTCGAGCTTATTTGCATCTTTCTGTTTATGGTACAAAAACAAGATGAAGAATGTTACCTCTGAATGTCGAAGATAAATGAATGAATTGAGGAAATTATAGTATTCAGCCTTCATTATGAGTCTTTGGTCATACATACCACTGTTTTCCTAAATGATTGAGGAAGTCATGTTTCCTCAAGTTCTGGTTACAGAAAGGCCTTTTAGGATCATAATGACTAGAATTTACTTGCTTCTAGCTTTCTTTGATTGGGATTGTGCAATCTGAACACCCAAATTCTTTTTGCAGGTTTTGATGAATATATTATCAATCCGTGGAGTACTTGAACAAGGTGCATGCTTAGATGCGTTGATTTCAGTAATGTTGGATTCGTCAGCTAATCAAACGGTAATACGCCATTTAAATGTCGTATGGAGGTCATACTTTATGGTTCCTTTGTTCTCGCACACTTCCTATAGTATTTTTCTTCCAAACATTGTGTTCAATTTATATTCCTTGAACTTTCGTCATAAACACCATAGAAACACCATCACAAGTCCTATTTTTTCATGGGTTGATTTTCTGAAATATAAAGTTCAACTCTCTACTCGCGGAAAGTGAATTTTTGGTTGTATGAACTGTTTGGCTTGATGAAAAACCAAGGTGTCTCATTGTGGTGACTTTATTTCCAGGATTTTGATGTTTGCAACGGCATTGAGGAAGTTGCATTGCTCATAAGGGACAAACAAATAGATGAAAACCTCAGGTTTTTCCCAACCTCATCTATCAACATATATCTGGTCCTTCCTTTATTATCATTACGACGCCATTTGCGATATGCCACGTTCGATTTTGTGGGGGAAGAGATAGTCCTCTAAAAAGGCTATCAACACCATGTATTCTCCTTAATTTTTCGATCCAATTTTTGCCTCCCATTAACTTGTCTTGTGATTAGGTTGAAATGCGGTGAGTTTTTACTGGTACTCATTGGACATGTAAATGGGAGGGGAAGGCCTCCTCTAGCAACCATTCATGAAGACATAAGGCGGCTTCTGGGAGAGAAATCAGCCTCCTTGATTTGGGCAGCCAGTCAATTCGGCTCGACTCTTGATCCTGAGCAGAGATTAACAGCCCTGCATATCCAAGCACGTCGGGTTCTCGAGTCGCTGGACTTATATTGAATCTAAAAATGGTAATGTTCCTCTACATTCTAACAGTGCTTTAATAGACTCTTCCTGATGTCGTCTGGAATGTGGCACATACAGTTGTAGTAATTTGTTGTCTGCTTGTCTGTCTGCACTATGAGAAGTGCTTTTCGTTGAGATATGGAAAAGTGTGTTTCATTTTTGTACAAAATTAGACTTAAAAAAGGAGAAAAAAAAAACACCATTTTAAACCTTGCAAGATTCGTCAATCTGTACCCTTTGACTTTCAAGTTACCTTCGTTCATAATTTGTTGGATTTTGGTCTTTCCAATGAATGTTCAAGCACACTACTGAACCAGCTAGGCTTGGTCTCTCAACTCTTTTTATAAATTGTTTGATTAATACATTAATTCTAGGGAGTTAATTTCACTCATTATACCAATTGTTCAACTAATTAAACACTCGAGATTGATCGTATAAATATTTTATGTTTTAGATAATGAATGACTGTTTCGAGAACGAGCAATTCTCGTCCAATATTATAAAACTGACATCTTTGTTAGATTTTAATAACATGTATGTATGACATTTAATACATTTAACTTTAAAATGGAAATGATAGGAGGTTACAGCCACACAAAACCAATCCCACTTTCCCTTCTTGAACAATACACGTCTTTGTCTAAGTAGGACTTTAGAACAGTGTGTTCTTGTTTTAGTTCATATTCTTCCTTAACTATGGCTCATATCTAATGCAATTTCTCTCAATTTCACTAGCTTTTATCAGGTAATTGCATTTATGCTTTTGCATCATGCAAACGGGAAAAGGATCGTGAACGGTAACATATCGAATATTGACTTAGCTTAATGAAGTGCGTTATACAGGGATTATAGGAGTCAAATAATAGAGGGATCGAGGGCTAAAAAATGTTCATGAGGCAAGGCAGATACGAGACTGTCCTTAAATGGGGAGGTCTGGGTGGAAATGGAGAATCTAATCTCCATTTCTAACCCCGTAGCGTACGAGGAGAAATCTCTTACTCTCTCCCTCCCTTTCTCATTTCCCGTTAATCAATGATTCTTTGCAGGTTTGACCTCATAGTTTAAGAACGGTGTAAAAGACATAAAAGAGTAATGGCTATATTGCAAATGGGATGTCAAAGAAGGGCGTGTGGAAACTAGGGGTTTAAATGGGTCAGATGGTGAACATTTCTTGTTGGGATTGTAGCTAGCCAAGTCTAGCTGAGTTTTGAGTTTGGGTGAGCATACTCACCTCCCAACATCCCATTCCAATATCCTCGATTTAACTCGATTCTTCAGCTGGAAACATAACAGCCGTCTGGTCATCGCCGCCGCCGCCGCCCCCGCCGTTGGCCGCCATGAAAGAATAAAAAAGATGAGTAGTAGTAGTTGAAGAAGCCGGAATAGGGTGGTGGGTGTCAATATTTCTATCATCATCAGCTGATGATGATGATGATGATGAAAATGAAGACCTTCTGTTCTTCCTTGAGCCACCGCCGACAGGAACATTCCTTAAAGAGCTGCCGACAGTCCAATACTTCCGACAAGCTTTGCAAAAATACCTGGGCTGAGACAAACTGTAATTGTTGTAATAACAGAACTTGGTGTTGGCTGAATTGCACCTCGGACAGCTCAAAGCTTGTTCCTTTTGTGGCCTTACTTTTCTCTCTAATACATGATTACCCTTTGAAGAACTTGATGAAGATCCTCCTCCTCCTCCAGCTGCATTCTGAAATTTCAACACTTTCAGACCCATTTCAAAGTGAAGAGAAAAGAAAGAAAAAATGTATTTTTTCGAACAAAATACCATTGAATCTCTCCATAAGAGATAGTTGTTCATCCGTCCCACACTATCTAAGCCAACTCATTATATCTTGAACACGCTACTTGTTCAATAGAGCTCTCTAACACATATATTCACTATGAGACTACACATCTAACGCAAAGAACTTTTTTATTCGACACTCATAATTTTATAAACATGATTAAAGGAATGACATGACTCTAATATCATTTACTAAAAACAACTAACCTCTCCACTATTGTACATTTGGAATATAAACTCTTGTGATTCTCTCACCCCTTACATGCATCCAAACATCCACTCCAACATTAAATTAAAAAAACAAAACTAAAATGTTAGTTTCTGGTAGTTAACCGTGCATGCAAGAAAACAAGAGAAAAAATGTGAGATCCCACGTCGATCGTAGAGGAGAACGAAATATTCTTTATAAAAACCTTGATCTAAAATCCAAAAAAAGCAATATCGGCTAGTTGTGGATTTGAGCGTTAGATTTAGTATCAGAACAATATTTTCGCTCTCTTTCTAAGTCACTCTAGCTTCTTCACAATTTCGCTCTGTCGTAAAAATAAAATAAGGTTCGTCTTGGCAGAAAAAAAGTGCTCATGTGAAGTTAACATGGTTAACTACAGTGGTAATCTCGATGTTTGATAGTTCTATGTTGGATCAATTTCTGTTCGTGTACGAATTTTTTTTATTTTTTTATTTATGTATAAAGATTTAAAATTTATATATATAAATAATAAATTTAACTCGAGAGTTGCCTCAAATTTTTTATTTTAAAAAAATTCACACCAATCCAATCATTATAGTTTGGATGGGGTCATTTGAGTTAGTTGATATGTCGAGCCATGAACACGGGAACAAGAAACTAAGTAGAGGGATTTTTTTGTTCGTTGGCTAAACGGGACGGGGATAGTGACTATATTGTTCGTGGGACGGAGATAAAGAAACCTTACTCTATGGACCTCTCTATTTGGAAGGATTTCGGCTCATTATTTTAGCCCATGAAGTTGGAAGCGGGGAACCATTGTTTAAGGCCCACATGGTGAATCGGAAAGAGAAGAGAAGACAACTGTCGCTGTGATAATGGCGCCGAGCTTTGCCCGGAAAACGAAAAAGCGCGCGAGATACCCTAATTGGCTCTTCGAATACCCATTTCTTACGCCTTTGAACATCGCGCCCAATTTCCCCATCTCACAATCCGATTCCTAAACGATGCACAAGCGAAGAACTTTAGCTCCGAAACCCACTACCATCCAGGATTTTGCTTCAGATGATGACGAATACGACGACGTTTCATGTCAGAAGGCGCCTCCGGCGACTCTCCGGCTGAGCTTCTTCTCTGCGACAAATGTGATAGAGGGTATCATCTCTTTTGTCTTTCCCCCATCCTCGTTTCAGTCCCCAAGGGATCCTGGTTTTGCCCGACTTGCTCCGACCACAAGAAGCTCAAATGTATGATCTGTTTTTTCTTCCCTTTCATTTCATGTTAGTTCCTAGATCTGAATTGATTCGATTTAATGACATGCATTGTGAAATCGAAGTTGCATTGTGTGTCTCCATCGAAGTATCTAGTTAGTGTTCTCTGTTCGAGATCGAGTGATTGATTCGTTTACTGAGCGGATGGAGAAACTTGTTTAGTTTTCTATTTTTAACACTGCGACATGTATGATCAAGTTCTTCTCTGTTCTGTATATTGTTCTGGTAGCTTATGGATTTGACTAACAATGACCGGCATATCAAATGCATTTGAGATTGATAAAAATTCCAACAGAAAATTTAGCCCTAATTATTCTAAATTAAATTAAACTGTTGATTTTCATTTTGTTTTAATAGTTCTCACTGTTATTTTGCGGCTTTCCCTCTTGTTCAAACTAAAATTGTTGATTTTTTCCGCATCCAAAGGCCTGCGGACTCCCAAACGGACTCCCAAACGGACTTGATGTTAGGTAGGAAAGTAACACTACTGGAGATTCCAGTTTACCTCCATCCTTTTCATGGTTAAAGGTTCTCTGGATCTCAATTGAAATCATTTTCCTTGTATTGTGGTTTTTCAGAGAATCGAAAGAAACGAATACGAGCTGGTAGCTTAGTACTTTCTAGAAAGAGAAGGAAGCTCTTGCCATTTAATCCGATTGCAGATCCTGCAAGACGCCTGGAACAAATGGCATCACTGGCAACAGCATTGACGGCTACTGGTACAGATTACAGCAACGAGCTTACATATATGCGTGGCATGGCACCAAGGTCAGCAAACTGCGCATCTTTGGAGCACGGTGGAATGCAGGTAAAGTGTAAAGACCCAACATCTTTGTTTAAGGAGAAGTGAATTGAATGTTCGTTATCAGTCCTGGCCATTTGTTTGAATATTGTCCTTGCTTAGTGGAAAATGTTAGATCTAATACTAGCGTCAGATTGCAATTTACAATTTATCACTAGAGATCTTTGTTCTTTTTAGCCTGACATCTTGTGCTTATAGAGACGGTGACAAAACAATTAAATGCTTTGTAGGGTTGTAGTTTCTCAACGCCAGACTATATGTTTTAGTCACTATGGAGTTTTGGGGCTCTTTCTTTGATCTCTTTGTTGATGCTGAAGTCTTTGTGTATCTGTATTCTAGGTTCTTCCTAAAGAGGACGTTGAAACCTTAAACTTGTGCAGATGTATGATGGAGAGAGGGGAATGGCCTCCCCTTATGGTTGTTTTTTATCCTTGAGAAGGGTATGTGAATCTGCATATTACTATATTTCTTTCTTTCTTGCTTTAGATAGGGAGCTCAGCTCATTTGATTCGTACATGGTCATAGGTTTACTGTGGAGGCAGATAGGTCTATAAAGGACTTGACCATAATTACTGAATATACTGGGGATGTTGATTACTTGAGGTGAGGAACCGTGAACATGTTGATGGGGATAGTATGATGACATTACTGTCTGCCACTAGCCCATCTAAAAGCCTTATCTGTCCCGACAAACGTAGTAACATTGCCTGTTTCATAAATGGAATCAACAACCATGCACCGTAAGCTCATCCCTCAGTTCTTTGTGTTTTGTCATTCTCTTGTGTTTGAGAAACCTGAGAGGACTAGTTTCCTCATTCTATCCTTTTCTTTTCTCCCTTTTGATTTGAGGATGTTTCTTTCTAATGCAGGGATGGTAGAAAAAAGCAAAACCTTAAGTGCGAGAGGTTCAATGTAAATGGTGAATGTAGAGTTCTACTTATTGCTAACAGAGATATATCTAAGGGAGAGAGATTGTATTATGACTACAATGGATACGAACATGAATACCCCACCGAGCATTTTGTGTAACCTTTTACTGTGTAAAATCCACACAATGTCTATAGATTATAGACACAAGCTGATCAATGAATGTCTGATTAATAGTTTGGCTAGTTTTCTAAGCTCAAGAGTTCATAAGCACGATTCAAATTTCCTCCAATACTGACAGGTGATAATTCAAGAAGCACTTACGTGTTGGGACAAATTTAGTTATCCAAATATGTCGATTATTACTTTGATTCAGAAGTCTTAAAAAAAAACTAGCTAATATTGAGTTATTTTAGATATGACTGTCTAGTTTTATGATCAATTGAAAGCTTGCAATTGCTAATAGACTATTCCCCGAGTTTTCTTAACATTTTGCTAGTGAAAAGTCCACTTTTTGGGCCAGGTGCTGCAGATCCTTCTTCGTAATTTGGTTCATCCTGGCCTGTCTAGATGTATTGAGACGCCAGGAGGGCCTTTGGCTTGGGCTGGAATTTGTTAAAAGAAAACCGTAACGACATTCCCTGGTTCGGATGGGAGGGACATGAATTGTTCTTCATCCCGATGCAATACAGAAAGAATGAATGACTTAGCCAATGAATTATTCGGCTAACTGAACTCAAACCCTATTCTAAATGAAATCCACATTGAGATTATGTATAATGCAGGTCCATCAGGTTATTTCTTTGAGTTGCAAACAGTGCAAGGAGCAACAAAGCTGAAAAACAACTCCTACCAACAAAAAGGTTTATAGCTTGGTTGAGTTTGAATGTTCTTTTGAGAAGTAGGTATATATCATGTATCATATAATATCTAAATGTATATACATGTGCAGGAGGAGAAAAGGACAGCGTTGATGGCCATGTTGTGACAAATCTTACAAGATATGCTGTACGAATTCAGATTGCATTAGAGGTTTGTACCATCGACGCCTCTCTTTCCTTTTACAATCTTATGATTGTCACCATATTAAGGACCACTCTATACTCGCAGTTGGAAAGAAACCACTCGGGTGGTCCTAATTTAGGCTCCCTACTTCTTTTCATTATCATATTTACTCATAAAAAGCCTCTCTTTAGCAGAAGCAATTCAATACATACAGTTGCACACACAACCATCTCATCTCTCTTCCCTGTCAACCATCAGATATGGATCATCAAATGTCATTCCCCCAAGCATTGTCCCACATCCCTCTCTTTAGTTGATGTATCTCTACCATTACAATGGTGGTCCTTTTTTCTGAGTAGCTCATCACTGAGAAAGAAATAATGGTAGTAATAATGTTGTTAATAGGTACTTTATTGTGTTTGGATTTTGCAAGGGTCCATCCTTTATTTTCCTTTTGGTAGCTGCCTCTCTGCATGTATCTGTATTTTTCCGGAGATCTTTTCCCTCAGAACTCAGATCCCAATGAAGCCTTTTCCTTTGATCTTTTCCTCCCTGCATTTGTTATTTGATAGAGATTATATAAGAGCTCAAGCCCACCGCTAGTAGATATTGTTCGTTTTAGCCCGCTATGTATCGCTGTATGCCTCACAGTTTTAAAACGCATCTACTGGGAAGAGGTTTCCACACCCTTGTAAGAGGTCTCACAACTCACTCCTTTAGTAGCCCAACATCCTCGTTGGCACACCATCCAGTGTCTAGCTCTGATATCATTTGTAATAGTTCAAACCCACCGCTAGCATATATTATTTGCTTTGCCCGTTATGTTGTTATAGATTAAAACTGTCCTCTAAATTGAACTACAAGTTCTACTTCTACCCAA